TGGGTCATGGGCTGCACACCACACATAAGTGGGTCATGGGCTTCACACCACACAGAAGTGGGTCATGGCTGCACACCACACAGAAGTGGGTCATTGGCTGCACACCACACAGAAGTGGGTCATGGGCTGCACACCACACAGAAGTGGGTCATGGCTGCACCACACAGAAGAGGGTCATGGATGTACACCACACAGAAGTGGGTCATGGGCGGCACACCACACAGAAGTGGGTCATGGCTGCACACTACACAGAATGGTCGTTGGCTGCCCACCACAAAGGAGTGGTTCATGGGCTGCACACCACATAGAAGTGGGTCATGGCTGCACCACACAGAAGTGGGTCATGGATGTACACCACACAGAAGTGGGTCATGGGCTGCACACCACACAGAAGTGGGTCATGGCTGCACACTACACAGAAGTGGGTCATGGCTGCACACCACACAGAAGTGGGTCATGGGCTGCACACCACACAGAAGTGGTTCATGGGCTGCACACCACACAGAAGTGGGTCATTGCTGCACACCACACAGAAGTGGGTTAGGGCCGTCCGTTCACTTGGAGAATGTGTGCACCTGTGAGTCTTTTCCACAGCCTGGTAAAGTAAGGTATTGCTATTTTCGTTACATTGCGAATGTTATTTTGGAAGTATCTGTTATAAAATAAATGACAGTATCTTCTTTGTAGACGGGTTTTTATACAACGTCATCTCTATTCCGGGTTCCGACAACTGCCTTCTCCTATCATTGGGTTATTTCTTGACACAAATGGTTGACGAGGGCAATGCACTCTCACTACAACATAGGGCAGTAGTTTACTTGCATATGATAGAAAATGAGAAGTAATTTAAAAAAATTATTTATTGATTTATTTTTGTTTGTAACACTTGCAACTGGTGTAAAAACTGCACCCGGTTCAGCCCTAGTATGAAGCATCTTGAAAGCCAAAATATACTCAATGACTGTCAACATGGCTTCCGATTCAATAGATCATGTGAGACCCAGCTTCTCGAATTTGTAGAAGACCTGATGACCAATCTGGAGAACCACAAGCAGACTGACGTGATAGTAATGGACTTCGCAAAAGCATTTGACCGTGTGAATCATTGTTTGCTTCTACACAAACTCCAGAGATATGGGATTCAAGGCACCACTAAAACATGGATCTCTAGCTTCCTCAGCCACCGACGCCAAGCAGTAGTAGTGGGCGGTACAAGCTCCTCCTTTGTCAATGTGAAGTCAGGGGTCCCCCAGGGATCAGTCCTGGGCCCCTGTTTGTTCCTAGCATACATTAATGACCTACCGGAGAAACTGACATCACAGGCAAGACTGTTTGCAGATGACACAGCAGTGTATAGGACGATCGCCAACAGATCTGACCAGGACCAGCTACAACAGGATCTCAATCTGTTAGCTGAGTAGGAGATGAGCTGGGACATGGAATTTCACCCTGCCAAGTGCCAGACACTATCAATCTCTAGAAGTTGTACTCCTCTACACTACCAATACGAACTGCACGGCCATATACTTGAGCAAGTTTCCTCCGTAAAGTACCTGGGTGTTACCATTCAAAGAGAGGTCCGCTGGGACGAGCATATTAACAATGTATGTAACCAAGCAGACAAGACCCTAGGGTTCTTAAGGCGAAATCTAAAGATTGGCAACTCCTGTGTGAAAGAAAGAGCATATAAAGCCTTTATCCGTCCGATTTTAGATTATGCATCTTCAGTCTGGGACCCATTTACCCAGAAGAGCATTGACAGGTTGGAGGCGGTCCAGCGACGAGCAGCACGCTTTGTCCTAAACCGCTACAGGAATACCTCTAGTGTTGGCAGCATGCTAGAAACATTAGGCTGGTCACCATTGGAGAAACGACGACGACAATCCAGGCTCTCCATGATGTACAAGATAAATAACTGGCTGGTCCACTGTTCCAGTATTAAACAGAAACTCGTCCCTCTCCCCCATCGACAGCGACGAGGCCATGACAGGCAATTCAGGCTCATATCAGCAAGAAGCCAGTATAGGAGCTGCTCATTCCTGCCCAAGACAATCAGGGACTGGAACAATCTTTCAAAAGGAACGGTTGAGGCGACAACACTAGACACATTTGTGTCTATTGCCTCAAGCCTTCAAACCCCTAGTGCATGATTTCCTCATCAACACCAGTAACAGAAACATTGCAAATCCCATCTACATGCATAGGAGCCAAAATGATCAATAAATTGATCGTGGGCCCTTAAGATATAGAAGAAGAAGTATGTTGTCTTCCGGCGATATCAAGAGAATAAATCCCATCATATGTTTATCAGTGCGCATGCGTTATCGTCAGCTGACAGGCTAGTAACCAAGGCAGCAAGTGACAAACGGTCCCACACAAGATAGCACGCTGCATGTGAAGCAGCTGACTGGTTTACATTTGATTTCTAAACGATATTAGTGATATTTAAGTTCAAAGAGTGAAATACGTTTGAAGAAGACAAGAAAGATAGAGGACAGATGGTCAATGTCTTGCTTTAAACCAATGGTCTCCAAACTTTTCAGCCCAAGGGCCACATTAACTATCAAACAGTAGTTCGCGGGCTGACTGCACACTCGAGCAGGGTTTCTGTCAGCATTATCTCGGAGGGGGTAGGGGGAGCCTCTGGCCCCGCCCCCACCCCGAGGGGAAGCCAAGTGCCCCCCCCCCACCAGGAGCAAAAACATTTCCAACAATGAATCAACTCGCCCTCCCCCCCCCCCCTGAAATAATGACTGCACTCGAGGTCCAAATAAAAAAGAATCAACACATGGATGTTGTTTTTAAATATTTCTATCCTATTATTTCATTCGGTTAATGACCTCCAGCTGCAGTTCCTCTGGGCAACTGGCCACATCTGTTTCAATTGGGTTTGAAAATGTCTCACTTCTTCTGCCTTTAAATCCAAGTCAGAAAACCGCTGCTGAAAATGCAGCTGGAGGTCTTTGATGATCTCGCATGCAAATGACGTGGGGAACTCCGCTGTTGCTTCAACCACGAAGACCGTCCACTGCGACAAGAGCGTAAAGTTGTAGGCTGTACTTGTTCCAAAAACAAGACGAGTCAATAGGGAAGTTCTTCTTTTAAATTTTAATTTTCCATTGCATTGCATGAGTGGTTATTGGTGGTTATGGTGGTTATTGGTGGCTATGGTGGCTATGGTGGTTATTGGTGGCTATGGTGGTAGTTGTGGTTATTGGTGGGTATGGTGGTTATGGTGGTTATTGGTGGCTATGGTGGTAGTTGTGGTTATTGGTGGCTATGGTGCTTATGGTGGTTATTGAGGCTATGATGGTAGTTGTGGTTATTGGTGGGTATGGTGGCTATTGGATGTTCATGGTGGTAATTGTGGTTATGGTGGCTATGGTTTTATGGTGGTTATGGTGGCTACGGTGGTAATGGTGGTTATTAATTGCTATGGTGGTTATTGGTGTTTATTGTGGTTATTTGTGGTTATGGTGGTTATTGTGGTTATGGCAGTTATTGGTGGTTATGGTGGTAATTGTGGTTATAGTGATTTGGTGGTTATGGTGCTTATGGTGGCTATGGTGGTAATGGTGGTTATTGGTGGTTATGGTGGTTTTGGTGGTAATTATGGTTATGGTGGTTATGGTGGTTATGGTGGTTATGGTGGTTATGGTGGTTATGGTGGTTATGGTGGTAATGGTGGTTATTGCAGGTTAAGGTGGTTACAAGTGGCTATGGTGGTTATTGGTGTTATGGTGGTTATTGGTGGTTTTGGTGGTAATTGTTGTTATGGTGGTTATTGGGGGCAATGGTGCTTAAGGTTGTTATGGTGGCTATGGTGGTAATGGTTGTTTTTGGTGGCTATGGTGGTTATTGGTGGTTATGGTGGTTATTAGTGTTTATGGTGGCTATTGGGGGCAATGGTGCTTAAGGTGGTTATGGTGGCTATGGTGGTAATGGTGGTTTTTGGTGGCTATGGTGGTTATTGGTCGTTATGCTTGTTATTGGTGGTTATGGTGTTTATTGGTGGCTATGGTGGTTATTGCTTGTTAAGAGGGTTATTGGTGGCATTTGTGGTTATTGTTGACTATTGTGGTTATTGGTGGTTATGGTGGTTATTGCTGGTTATGGTGGTTATTGTTGGCTATTGTGGTTATTGGTGGTTATGGTTGTTATTGGTGGTTATGGTGGTTTTTTGGTGGCTAAGATGGTTATTGGTGGTTATGGTGGTTATTGGTGGTTATGGTGGTTTTTGTTGGTTATGGTGATAATTGGTGGTTTGTTGGTTATAGGTGGTTATGGTGATTATTGCTGGTTAAGATGTTTATTTGGTGGCTATGGTGGTTATTGGTGATTATGGTGGTTATTGCTGGTTATGGTGGTTATTGGTGGTTATGGTGGCTATTTGTGATTATTGTTAAATCATAGTTAAAGGGAAAAATTGTTTTTTTCATATAAAGAGCCATATGCAGCCACAGGTTGTTGCCCGTTGTACTAGAACATATTCATATAATATTAAATATAAAAGTTGCGCCTGCTAAGTGTGAGCACCTACGTGGCAATTCCCCGTCAGCTGGCGGATTGTAAACATCAACAAATATCAGTGGATTCTCAAGATGGACTCACGACTAAGCTTTGTGGCTGCAACCAATCCACAGTGTGAACGTTCCTTTATAGCTACAGACAATACCGTTATTCAAATCAAAACGCTTTAGATGGGTTCAAACTAATTTAATTGAACATCATTTATTATACTGTTGCTATTAACACATACACATTTATTAGTAGTATTAAAAATCTCAAAATGAATGTCATATTTAATGAGATTTAAAAATTTAAAAAAAGTTCCGATAAAAATAAATACTTCGACTGTCAACAAATGACGTGCTGTTGAATTGACTTGTTGATTGGTGGCATTGGTCACTAAAATGAACAGCATAATGAGTGTGTGAGCTGACCCAACAAGAGAATGCCATATTGGTGTCATATTGGTGTCATATTGGTGTCATATTGGTGTCATATTGGTGTCATATTGGTGTCATATTGGTGCCATTTATGTTTACACTTAGTATAAGTGATGAAAATAAAGAAACTATTTTTGAATTAAATCTCTACAATATTATTTATGCAAGCTATTACATAATCAAATGTACTCTATCAAATCAAAATATGTTTTAAAATACTTGAAAGTCCCATGCTATCTGATCAAAATTCTGGGATAATTGTGTGTTCATCCTGTTTTGTTGGGACGTTTGGGACAAATACCTGGTATTCATAAATCATAGTATGAGACGTTCAATGAGTAGAATGCAGAATACATGCTGGGCTGGTTTGTTGTCCGTGCGATTCAGTCTGAGAGGAATTCTGAGAGACAGTAGGAACGACACTTAAAAGATTTGTTTTTTAAATAAACAAACATTAAAAAAAACTGGGGAATAACGACATATCCATTGGAAAATCGCAAAAGAATTAACATTGTCACAATTTCATCATCTTAAACATTATTAGTTTGTCAAATCGTAAAGAATTTTATAACAAGTTTCAAACTTTTCTTTCTAATGTGAAATTTTATAATAAATATAAAACGTTCATTCTAATATTCACTGCTGTGGCGAGGACCGTGCCGTGTTAACTGTGTCCTGAAATGAAACATCACCATACAAGTTCCACGGAACGTGGTGCTCATTCCTAGAAACACAAACAGGTTGCAGGCGCCATTGAGCAAGTCGAAGAAGAATACAATATAGGTCATGGTCAAAAAGAAGTTGTGGTACTTCCGGAGGAAGTAGAAATCGTAGATGAAGTATTTAGTGAGGTAAAGAGTTGCTCGTGGCGAGAGGTTCAGTATGTAAATAGCAATAATGACGAGAAGCATTTTCACGATTTTCCTGTCACGCCTGGTGATGGTCCTGCTGGTGGTCGTCATGTTTATGTTCACATCTGACGTGACTGACGTGACCGAGACGTTCGTGGTTGCGTGTCTAAAGTGAGAGGCTTTCTGCAGCTTGTAGGAAATGATGACCGTCGATATGACAATGACCACCAGAAAGAAGATCGGCAAGAAGAAGCCAGCGATGTTGTAGTACTCGAAGAGAGACGTGTTGTTCTGAGAGAAACTGTTGTACTCGTAAATAGCCACAGAGGCGTTGTACTTGGCGTCGTACCGCCACTCGATGTCGTAGATGCCGTACATGACAGCGAAGCTGCCGAAGACGAGGACAGAGATGAAGACACTGGCAATGAACGTGCGTCGAGGGCTCAGAATCTCTTTGACCTTGAACGGTATGCAAACGCACAGGCATCTTTCCACGGCAACGTATGCTGCCAGGGCGCTGGTGACGTATGCCGTGATGGACAGTAAGTAGTCAAACAGGACGACACCCATGTTGGTCCAGCTTTGAGCCAGCGCCGGGCTGACCAGGCTGATGGGACCGGACATCCTCTGCGCAGTACCGCCCACACATTTGATCAAATCCCAGAAGGCTATTGCTGTCATGGAGACGGCGACGCTGTCCTTGAACCCTTGCTTGGTGAACACCGCCATGACGATCAGATTGGTGAAGATACCGGAGAGTGACAAGATGAATGACATGGTCAAATCGATGATAATTTCGGCAAGCCGTCGTTGATATTCGCTAACAATGGCGTCGAACTCTTCGTGTGTCTTATTCTCTTCTTTCGGCAAATATGTTGTGTTCCTATCGTCATCAATTGATACAAAATCTAATAGTGGCGACGACGCCATCTTTCTTTCAAGTTTTACAACGATGACCGAATTTCAGTGGCTTGCTAGAGATCATCAAGTCTTTTTGCCTTTTAGATTTTTTTCGATGTGTTGAAAAATCTAAATGAACTTCAGATCACATTTTAAAAAGCTCAGACCTAGATTTATATAGCTTTCATTTAAATTTCATTATTATAAAACCCTAAAGTATTGCTTTCCAAAAGTTCTTCACACATATCACAAGCTACAATTACATCACTAAGACCTTAACACTGCGTAGCATGAACTCTTTTCACCGTTTTTTGTAATTTCCTGGCGGCTGTCCACTTTATTAATACGTGAGGAATCCTCTGATTGGGCCCATTTCGGTGCTTCTCAAACGGTTTCCATCCTATTCATCCCATTGCCTCGGCTTACGCCTTCAATCATGAAAACTTCTCAACTGTTCCACTCAGCAGAGTTGCTGATATGGGGGTGTTCATTAGGCTTCTTTGAAAAATGAATTAGCAGATATTTCTTTTTCTTAAAAAGGACTGGTCTTCACAAGGCGTTGTCACGGTGATTTTTCATTTGTCACAAATGCACACACACAAACTAATTAAAATTGAGACACATATTACTCAATTGATCATTTTTTAAACGTGTTGAATTGTGCTAAAATTATATCTAGAAATATCTTGTTTTTAATAGAGTCATTCTTTTACCTTAAAAAGTGTTACTCCCCCTTTGCACCTAGGGCGCTAAAATATATCTACACCACTGAGGGTGTTTCATTTAACAACATGGGGAGTGATCTTAATTTGTGTTGAGCCGCTATAAACCCCTTGAACTAATCCAGCCAATCGTAGACTGTCAAGCGCCTATCGTCCACCGACACGAGCCTAGTCCAAGTCATGAGAATTTCTCCTGTGATCATGGCAATCGTGCCTTCCAACACCTGGCTTAGTTCAGGATTCCCACGAGACAAACCCCGGATAGACGGACCTGGAAACGACGGGCATAATTAATCATGCCTGTAATAAAGAAGAAATATAAAATAAAAAAAAACAAAAAAAAAAAAAAAAAAAAAAAAACAGAAACAAAAAAGAAAAAAAAAAAAAAAAAGGGGGGGGGGGCTGAATAGAAGTACAAATAGAATAAACAAGGTGACGCTCCACTGTGCTCATTATGAAAGTCGCTAGAGATGAGTGATGAGAGGTTGGGAGGGATAAAGAAATGTATGGAGGAAAGTGGGCAGGGGGTCCACCAATCTTTAGACCAAGTGATGCACACTGAGGTGTGGATTGTCCAACCACCCCCCCCCCCCCACAACTTTAGCAACGACAGAGAGCCATCAGTTTATAATCTTCCTGATTTAATGAAAATGTTGTAGCGTATACCTGTAGCTGAGCTTCTCTACATAAACATCCTAGATCAGGTGGCCCCGTCGTAATGAAGATCACGGCAACTGTTTATTGGGTAGGATGAAAGTCCGATCCTAAATATCCGAGGCACCTTACAGGCATAAGATAACTTGTCATGAAATGAAACACCGAAGACCAGTAAGCAAACCGCAGACATCGCGTGACTCTTTGATCTTGGAACTATGACATGGCATTTATGGAACTATAACATGGCATTTATGGAACTATAACATGGCATTTATGGAACTATAACATGGCATTTATGGAACTATAACATGGCATTTATGCTGTTTAAGACGTATTTTGATTGTTCTCTCCTGGAATCCGTCCGTCATCATGTGACGATGGTGTAGACTTCACAAGTGGATAAGCTTGTTCCTTAGACAGTAAGTCACCTCGCTCTACGCATCTGGATAACCCAAGGGAACAACATGTGTGGTTGATTTTTTTTTTATACAGCTTGGCACCAGTAGCGTCACAGGAGTTAACGAAATGTTCATTGTATCCATGTGATACCGTCCACGGGACTTCGGCTCCGGGTAGTGTTCCCTATCAAGTATGTATTTTAAGATCTTGCCTATCCTAATTTTACAATAATTTCAAACCTGATCATTCCACTGGTCATCTCTTCCACATCTTTCATTGCCCAATGCTCCTTTTTAGGATAAGCAGCTAGATGCCACTTTTTACTGATACGCAGCCAGAGGCAACTTTTTATCATACACAGCTAGATGCCACTTTTAGGATTCGTGGCTAGATGCCATTTTTATGATAAGCATTTAGATACCACTTTTAGGATAGGCAGCTAGATGCCACTTTTTAGGATAGGCAGCTAGATGCCACTTTTCAGGGATGGGCAACAAGAAGCCACTTTTTAGGATAGGCAGCTGAATGTCAATTTTTAGGATAGGCAGCTAGATGCCACTTTTTAAGATAGGCAGCTAGATACACATGTTAAACATACAAAGATTCACAATTAAAGTCTTGATTAATCACTGGGCTGGTTATGATTAATTAAAGGGCTAGTTATGATTAATTAAGGGGCTAGTCATGATTAATTACTGGGCTAGTCTTGATTAATTAAGGGGCTAGGAATGATTAATTACTGTGCTAGTCATGATTAATTACTGGGTTAGGCATGATTAATTCAGGGGCTAGTCATGATTAATTACTGGGCTAGTCATGATTAATTAAGGGGCTAGTCATGATTAATTACTGGGCTAGTCTTGATTATTTACTGGGCTAGTCATGATTAATTACTGCACTAGTCATGATTAATTAAGTGCCTATTCATGATTAATTAAGGGCCTAGTCATGATTAATTACTGTACTAGTCATGATTAATTAAGGGCCTAGTCATGATTAATTAAGGGCCTAGTCATGATTAATTAAGGGCCTAGCCATGATTAATTAAGGGCCTAGTCATGATTAATTAAGGGCCTAGTCATGATTAATTAAGGGCCTAGTCATGATTAATTAAGGGCCTAGTCATGATTAATTAAGGGCCTAGCCCTGAATAATTACAGGGCTAGAAAATAACTTAAATTATGTCCGGTTTGTGGCGTCATCTCTGGAATGATCAAGTCTTGACTAGACAACAAAATAGCAATACTATCTATTGTGGCGTCATCTCTGGAATGATCATGTCTTGACTAGACAACAAAATAGCAATACTATCTATTGTGGCGTCATCTCTGGAATGATCAAGTCTTGACTAGACAACAAAATAGCAATACTATCTATTGTGGCGTCATCTCTGGAATGATCAAGTCTTGACTAGACAACAAAATAGCAATACTATCTATTGTGGCGTCATCTCTGGAATGATCAAGTCTTGACTAGACAAAAAAATAATACTATCTATTGTGGCGTCATCTCTGGAATGATCAAGTCTTGACTAGACAACAAAATAGCAATACTATCTCTTGTGGTAAAAGTGTTCTCATGTGTTAAGTGATTTGTACAACCTCTGGTTATTTTGATGGTTGTTCTTTCATTGAAAGCTTCATAGTCCTTCAGTTTCATTCATTCGGCTGATTCAGGGAGCAAGCACTGGGTTGATTCAGGGAGTAAATACTGGGCTGATTCAGGGAGTAAGAACTGGGTTGATTCAGGGAGTAAGCACTCGGTTGATTCAGGGAGTAAGCACTGGGTTGATTCAGGGAGTAAGCACTCGGTTGATTAAGGAGTAAGCACTCGGTTGATTCAGGGAGTAAGAACTGGGTTGATTCAGGGAGTAAGCACTTGGTTGATTCAGGGAGTAAGCACTCGGTTGATTCAGGGAGTAAGCACTGGGTTGATTCAGGGAGTAAGCACTGGGTTGATTCAGGGAGTAAGCACT